TTAAAGCTGCAGTCCGTAACTTTTGGCACTCTAGCGGTTAATAAACAGAACTGCATGCGTCTTGCGGAAGAACATTGTAGCCGGAGCTACTTCTCTCTGTTTAGGTCAATGACGAATCACGCAGGTACTGGGCTACTCCGCAGCGGTACATACCCGAACCAGTCTAAAATAGTCCGAATATAAACATTTATTATAGGTGTACCGTAGGGATTCTGGATAAGCCAAAAACACGGTTTGGAAAATGGATTAATGGTGTACTCGATTATTATATAAATGTTGTTAAATTTGAACACAAAAAAGTTACGGACTGCAGCTTTAAACTATTTCTAAATGAAAGCAGACAATAAAAAAAAAGCCAGGTCAGGATAAAAAAATGGATCAAAGTATAGCATAACACTCTACTTTATGTCCCATAATTCTGTATTAATTACAAAATTTTACTTAGGCTATTAAAATAAACATCTAAAAATTCAAATACTGATAACATACAGAACATCTGTTGTTCTCTTATTGTAGAATATGTCGTTCAGGTTGAAAAGATACTGTTACAGTGAAGCAGACAGTCTAAAATGTTTTGACAGGGTGAATCAGTTTCTAAGTCTTTTGCATATATGCAAAATATAAGTCTTATATAAATCATATCTGCAGAAATAAGTCTTTTTCGTATCTGCAGAAAATGCAAGTGGCAGTGCAATTTCCTGAAATGCATGATTACTTGCCATAGATAACTATATAGAATTATTCTTTAATAAATAATAGAGATAACATTTAATACTCAATTTTTGTTTTGAATACAATTTAATAAATAAATGAAAATGTAAAAAATCCAAATATTTATGGTGGTAAGCAAAACAAAAACACTTTAAGTGTTAAAGTGTGCTTTACAGCCACAGCATAAAACAATAAATACCACTATTCGTTCCGTCACGCATATGCCATTAAAGATGGTGATGCAATGTTTGCCCGTCATATAACAGTTCACATTTTATTCTCGTCTGCACATTCCAGGAAGTCCAAGTTTCAGATAGCAGCAAACATGACTGGTTGAAACTCAACTCCCCTACAAGTATAGCTGGGTCCTGAAAATACATTTATAGAGCATATCAACTCTACCATCTGGACCGATCTCAGTGCCTTTCCACTTTATGTGAGATATGAACTTAATGAATTCAGTTTAGCTGAGATCCACGGTACCTGACACACATGTTTAGAAGTTGTCTGTCTAGCTGGTTTCATATTTTGGTTACATAAATAGGTCATAAGTGTGATGCTGGCAGAGATGCATGTGTTACGGCTACATATGCTGATTTTATGCCTGCAGGGTTACTTGCTTTTAAGATTATAGGGTTTTCCTCACTAAGGCATATATTTGCAATAAAAGGTATAGTTCACCCAAAAATGAATATTCTGTCATTATTTACTGCTCATGTCATGCTGTTTGAAATCCACAAATGGAGAAATAAAAAAATGCTATTGAAGAATATGCTATTCATGCGTTAGTTAAATGTTTTTTTTTTATGAATTGGTTGATCTGGTTCACAAAAACGCTACTGTAAATGATTTGTGATTCATGGCCACTGTTACTTCTCTTTTATGGTGCTTTTGAATTCCTTTTGAAGTTTAATGCTCCATTGAACAGAGCAACTAGCCCTCTTTACTCCCAAAATGTCTCTTTTGTTCAACAGAAAAATTGTGCTTATGTTTCAAGAACATTATTAAAGACCAGATAACTCTGAACAAATATTCTATTAATGTTACTGGAAGAACGTTTTTTGCCAGAACATTAGTCAAAGTTCTGAGAACATTCTCTGTTAGCTGGGTAATTATTTATCTCAAACAGTGTTACTTGCAATATGCCAGACACTACAAATCTGAGAGCTTCATGTGGTATTCTATAGTTACACAATCATATGATGAGTTTGTATATTCTTCTATGAAAGAAGATTAACTGTTTGTGTAACTCACTCTTTGATTCGCTCATAGTGACGGACTCGATAAAGTCGAGGGGAGTCATGTAAAGCTGTCCATCATACTCCAGTGAACTGAAGAGCCTGAACCTGTGCTCATGAGCGGACTTCGAAACCTCTTCATCTTCACCAGATGCACTGGCCTATAATCAAACAAATACACATCTCACTTACATAAAAATACAGGATAAGACAGGCGTGACATTACAGAAAATGCTAGCCATTTTCTTTTTCCTTCTTTCAGTAAATAGCCTCTTCCCAGTTTTTAATATCGCTACCATTCCTGTACAAAAAAAAAACAAAAAACATGCACACAAACATCCACAAGCAGAAATATCAAGAGGACAGTGTTCTTCTCACTCTAGAGTGGCCGGCAGCCAGGCCCACTGGGCACTGTGCAAACACCCTGGGAATGTATGCCCTGGTACTTATTACCCCATCAAACGTCGACCCGGCTGCCAAGCCGCCGTGTCCAGTTACCTCAACCCTGGATTCCTGCATCTCAGTCTACAAGTCAAGGTTACGACCCAAGCAGATAAGAGTACAAAAACAAAAGGGAACAGTGCGGAGAGAGTCGCAAAAAACAGATTCAATCCTGTGTGGTTTAATGATCAATCTGATAACAGTCTGATAATTGCTTTTTCGACAACAGTCAAAACCAAGTGTATGTATACCAGAGGCACTTAAACACAACCCAGAGGGTTCTTTTGATTTGTTAAACCTATTAAATAGAATAATAATGAATAAATAAATATAATAAATCATGATCAATCACATGATTTAATAGCAAATTTTTAAGGAAAAACAAAATAATGAGTGTAATGTGCGCAAAACATACATTTGTGTGGATGAACCTTGAAGCAGAATATAGTTTGTTTTTCTCCCATAGTATTGGTTATTTTTTGTATAAAAGTGACTTTAATAGGACTAATAGTATTGTAATAAATGACATCAATCACAATATGAATCTAAGAAACATATTGTGGTTTAGGAAACACTAACGTAGATCGAAGTACTGATGTATTAATGTAGACCAACAAATCTGACTGAAAGGCAAATGACAAGAGATTTTGACAATACAGGAGAAAAGGTTGTTGACTGAATTTGCATGCGTAGTAAAATGACCCTTTCAGAGCATAAGTCAATACTACACAGGCAGAACATATCTAGGCCTATAAAATGTCCAATATGTACTTATAATATGTGCTCCAATATTTATTTTATATGTAGTTTTATAGAATCACAGCGTATCACCTGACTGATGAATTAGGACACCGAATTCAGCACCTCTCCGGTGGAGAGCGACAGTTTTGATGGCACAAGAACTCCACCGACTTTACGACTTTAAGAATAATAAAAACCGGGATGCTATAGAAATATTCAATGTAAAACACAAACGTAAACATTTCAAAGTGTAGACAACTAAGATTTAGATACCTTCTCTTTTGCAGCCACGGCTGGGAGCGGAGAAATCAATGCACGCTGACTAGCTGCGTGTCCCCGATCCGAATTGTAGTATACAACAGTGAATCCGCCGACAGTGATACACAGTCCTGTCCCTACACGCCTCAGAACTGCTCTTTCCCTCGATGACTGTCTGCTGTTAAAGTAAAAGCTTAAACCGTTTGTAGAGCTGGTGAACTTGTTTCGAAGAGCCAGAAACCGACGCACGGCGGCCATCATGACTGTGTCACCGCGGGCAGACTGCGCTCACTCATCGCGAGATGAAAAATGCGACCTCGATACAGCACATCGTGCATGAACACATTAGCAGCTGTAGTCAAATTTGCAGTCAAATGTCCTTTCCATTCAGGTCATAATTAGAAGTCATAGTTAAAGCCTTAATTTCAAGTTAAAGTCTTTATTTCGTTTTATTGTGGGTTTCTTTTCATTTGACTTGGTAAACAGTTGCAGCTAAAATACTACATGAGAGTTTGGGTGTGCTGTAGCACTAGATTTTGTTTCAGCATCTGTGCTAAGTGTTTTGTTTTTTTTTGTC